TATGCCTTCAAGACATCAAAATATAGGACGACCATATGTCTCAAACAATGTCTCAAAATATGTCTCAAACAAGAACAACTATGGAAATCCAAATTCAAAATAAAATTTTCCACAATATGTATAATTAAGCCAAAGGACATTCACAAGATGCCAAAACCGAGCCCAACAGGGGCCAAAGCAAATGAAACCGAACCCTCTCACAACTATAGAGCAGGGATAGGAATAAACACCAGAAACGGGCTCTCGGATAGGAGTTAAAGCAAGCAAACCGAGCCCTCAAACAGAGTCAAAAACAAACCCTTCAAAGCTCATACATGAAGTTTAAACAGTTAGTAGGACGTTCTAACCAAAACCAAAAGCCCATCCTCAACAAAAATTAACATCCCATGCCCCTGCAATGAAAACCGAATGCCCACAAAGATCCCAAAACCGAGCCGTTCAAGGCCAAGACAAAGCCTGAGCATAGATTAAAATCCAATCTTTAGCAGAAATTAAAATTCCAGTCGCTTCAAGATAAAACCGAACCATTCAAAGCGAACCATTCAAAGCCAAGGAACCATTCAAAGCCAAGGGACAACTCACGAGCTTTTGAAATATCAAGATATAGAGCCAATATATGCCTTAAGCAAGAACAATAACATATATAGTATATTTAGGCCCCTTACTTGAGTATTCCAAACATGAAACAACTTCCAACATGTATTTAAACAAAAGGATGTTTCACGAGGAGCTAAACCAAGCCCTTAAAACAGGTTGCAGAGCTTTCCAAATTAAATAAATTTTTTTATAGCATGCATTTCGAGTAAGGGAAAGCCACTGAAAGCCAAAAACGAGCCCCAAACATGCATGAAAGGCCAAATAAACTCTCCAATATCTCAAGCTAGATAAGAATGAATGAAAAGCTTCATAATACATGTCCCAACATACTTGCAAGAGGAGCTACTATTGTCTCAAGGCCATATTTCAACCTTCCTATTCATAGTAATATACATATGTCATAGTTTCATCTCAAGCAAGTAGAGAAAAGAGAAATACTTATATCATGTCATATTTCCACCGTTCTAAGCAAGTAATCAAGTCCAATTCCTAAAACATGCTCACATTTCCTTTTCTAGATGCTTGAATACCAAGTATTTCCAAAAATATAAGTGTAATATCATGCAAGTATGCTATACCATCCACTGCACCAAGCTAGAGGGGGCTCGACAGAGAGCAGAGTCGAGTACAGCTCTAGCCAAACTTTCCTCCCAACAGTGAGAAGAACCTAATTGAAGCACTAGAAACTCAAAAAAAGAATAAAAAAGAAGAGTGACAGAGAAAATTCCTCCCCAGAACAAATTTTCGGCCCTTTGAAGCTTCACAGAGGAGCTCTGATATACGCTATGGGAAGAAGAAGCCAATGATTGAAAAAAATCCCGCAGAGATCGAGCGCAGGGGGCTCTGCCATACTGTTTGCGGCTCGAGGAGCTAATGAATGATGAGGCGGGATGGGCGACTGCGAGAGAGGAGAGCGCGGGAACCTTCGTTCCCATGTCTCGAGCTCGTGTGGTCACATAAGGGCTCACAACGGCTTAGGGCAGAGGCACGAGCGAGAGAAGGGCGCACGAGCGAGAGGCGGACGGGAGAAGGGAAATGAAATTAGGATTAGGTTTATGATTTATTTATAATAAATAATAATAAAATATTATTTATTATTATAAATAATACTTAAACACATCTCCTTCTCCAGAAATGCCTTCACGACGAAACAAACTTCTCCAAGGCGAAATCGACGTTCCGGACGTGTAGGCGCAGTCCGTTTCGTCATCAGAGTCGTTCGGGCAACCTCGTCGTCGATTGGGTTATAAACGCGTCGCGGTCCAAATCCTATCAAAATTTCGGCTCGAATTTGATTAAACAGAACGGAGAAGAGCGCATCAGTGCCAAATCAACGAGTTGAGTCAATCCTGAGGCCGGCAGTCCTATAGGAATACTCTCTGAGTTCCTTCGGAGTAGCCTACCTGGTTCGAATTCGATTAAACAGGATGGCGAAGAGCGCAGCGGCGCCAAATCAACGAGTAGAGTCAATCCTAAGACCGGCAGTCCTATAGGAGTGCTCTCTGAGTTCCTTCGGAGTAGCATTACCTGCTAGGCAATAGTGGTCAAAACTACCACATGGAACGTCAAGTAGAGCGAAGAAAAGTCCAGAATTGCTAACGGGGAAGACTCCTTCACTAGTTTTTTAGGAGTACTCGACAGAAAGGTCCTACCTCTAGATCCTAAGCTATTAAGGAGGGAAAAGCTACACCTTGATAGAAAGCGAGGTCAACAGAGCCCTCATCGGTAACAATCTTGATGATGGTGTTTATGTTACAACGATGTTTGATAGTGACATGAAAGTATTTGGTGTTTCTGTCACCATTCTTAAAATGATTATCACAAGCTTTCTATCTGAGGTAATCTTCCTCAATAGAGATTTCTTCTAAAAGAGTGTGGTGAGCATCCACGAGTTTAGACCCAATATCGGGAGTAGGAGTAGCAATCACCTGAGCCTCTAAATCGTCTACCTCTTGTTGGGCCTTTAGCACCCTAGAGTGAATATTACCAAAAACGTCAATGTTCCATCTTTTTAAATGAAAAACCACATTCTTATGCAGTTGACACAACGTAAGCCATGGATTCCCACTTTCATTAGAGACCCAAACCTGTTTAATCAAGTCAGTGAAAGTGGTGTGAGTAGCCCAAACATTAAAAAATTTAAAATGATAATGAGGAGGCTTGGAATGAAAAGCTAAAGTAAGCAGGATCAGATTGTGATCCGAAGCAGCATGATTCAAATGCTTGACTTGAATAATATTATAGTAGCTCAACAACTGAGAGTTTCCCAAGAATCTATCCAAACGTTGTAACATGAAACCTCTCCGCCAAGTGTAAGGAGGATCAGAGAAACCTAAGTCATATAGGTCAGCTTCCTCAATATGATCACAGAAACGATTAATAGGATTTGTGTCAACCTTAGCACCACCCCATGTCTCTGTAGGTGACATAATCATATTTATATCGCCTCCAACGAACCAATTATCATTTATTTCGGCCCTCATATGAGTAAGTTATTGTCAAAGAAGGAATTTATCCCTTAAGTGAGAGCTAGCATAGATAAACGTAGCCCAACCTGAAAACAGTTCAAATTGATATTGAATGAGAACATATTGCACATTATCATCAATGATATTAACAGTGATATCCTTCTTCCAAAAAAAACCAAAATTTATTGTTCACATTGCAGAAATGCAAATACCCCTTGAATCTCTTGATGATGCTATCTTTATGAGTTGAAACAAAAGACTCCAAAATAGTAAGGATGTCAGGTTTATGGACCCTACATAAATGCTTTAAACGATTAAAGGAGTGAGGGTCCGCCACTCCTCTAATGTTCCACACCAAAACATTAAGCATTATGGCCCATGACACCCTCCCCTCTAGCAATCCTAGAGGGTAGGTGTCAGTGCTCACCTTCTGAGTGATAAGTGACATCAGTAGTATTTGATTTTGGTAATTTCGGCAGTTCAATTCGTTAGTTCAGATTTCCTTCTCCCTCGTTTTCTACTGTATCTCTGAATTTGCCATTCAGATTCAAGGGCAGAGATAACAATAGCTGATGGATCCTTCTGTGAAGAGATAATGTGAGTGAAGGGATCAGAAGAGGAAGGTTGGGCGGAGTCGGCATCAGGTAGGTGAGTGGAAGGTTCGGTTTGCAGGACAGTGAAGACAGGGTGTTCCACCAACTCAGTGACTGTAACGTCCACGGGTAAAGGCCCTAGAGCCACCGCCGCATCCCCCAAACTAGGAGTAGGTATTTTGTTAATTTCTAAAGAAGGAACAAACAAATCATTTGAACCTCCAACCGCCATAACATCCACCGCTACAGCCTCAGCAAGGGGGTCAACCGAATCAACAGTCTGTATAGATGGTTGTGAGAGTGTAGGGAGAGCAGATTTGTGTTCTCCAGGGGGCGGTCGATGGGTAGGAAATTTCCTTAGGATGTAAATTAAATGGAAACAATGCTCAGAGTCATGACCAAACATGCTACAGTGCTTACAGTAATAAGGATGTTTTTCAAGCAAAACCGACTGCCAGTACCCATATTAGTAGAGCCTATCCAAATATCCTCCGACGGAGGTAAGGTGATATCTCTCTCAATTAATATTCTAGCACCGAGGGCCTTGTGAGATTGAAGGTATGAGCATCAAGCATTAGAGGTTTCCCGTACATGACAGCAATCGAAAATAAAATTTCATGATTAAACAAATGCACCTTCAGACCAAGGAGTTTAAGTCAGACAGGGATAATAGGGAGCTCGATTTTGGGGTCAAAGTCAGTTGTCCATTTAAGGACCTTCATCCAAACATCACCAAAGTGAACAGTTCTACGAGCAAAAAGCTTTGCATAGTCGTCTTCATTGGAAAGTTGTATCAAAATATGTCGGCTATCCAAGGCCCCGATCTTCCACCCTCCCGAAAATTTTAACAACTCAAAATTCTTCAACAGAAAATCATATTTCGGCAGACCATAGAGGAATTTACCAATCAAATGAAAAGAACAAGCAGTGGCGAGGATAGAGTTTTTCAGAATCGGAGAGAAAAAACACGTTTTTACCGCCCTTACGACCTTGAGGTTAGAAAACAGAGAGTGAGGGGAAAGCCTAAAACGAAAAACCAGAAAGATCTCACCAGGGGGTGCCGTCGATTAGCCGTTAACATCTTCGTATCAATTCGGCCTTTATTTTTTTTCTATTTCGGGCAACTTATTTACATATATATATTTATTTATTTATTTATTTATTTATTTATATGTCAGATTTTTGTGACCTTTGAGAAATCTGGGATGTTTATTGCCGTAGTGGTTTGTTCTGAAATGTTAATTTTTTCATGGTTTACTTAGCTTCATTTTCAAGTTAGTTTAGCCTTGCAGCTATTCAAAATAATTTATGTTAAATACTTTCCTATTGGATGGTGAAACAGACAAGTTTCGATAGAGGAAGGCGAAGCTAAAGCGCAAGAACTTGGTGTTATGTTCATTGAAACAAGCGCCAAAGCTGGTTTCAACATTAAGGTACGTATAGACAGATTTGAAAATTCATTTTTTTGCACTATATTCTTCAATTCTCGAAAGAAATAACTTCATGGTCATTGCTAAAAGATCAATTTTTTAGGCAGTATGTTGCCATTGGAGTAAATGATGAAAGTAGCCTTATTATTTCTCTTAGGCGCGCCTATTTCAATCTATAGACCTTTTCAACAATCAATTTATCTCTCCAATTCACAAAAACCGAACCAATTTCACTGTCATTTTTCTTTTGGTCTTTTTGGACTGGAGATGGTGTTGGGAAGCTTTTTATAATGATATTTTGGACTTTTATTATCAAACTCACCATTAATATCAATTTAAAATAATGGATTTGAGCTTAGTAATCCTAAACATCTTTATGAAAAGCTTCATTTCATCCATAAAAGTAGTATGTACAATATGATTTATCAAGAACTATAAAGAAAAGACAAACCCAGATTTCACAAGTGAGATTCTTTTGAAATTGCTGTGTACAGGTCTCCTTCTTCCTCTTGACTCCTCTCTTTCTCCACTAGGCTAGAATTTTCTGAATTTTCCACTTTAGCATCGACGTGTTAGGTTTGATTGGTTGGCTCCCAAGGGTCTTTACCAGATGGTTAGGTTAAGAGTGTTAGCCTTATCAACCTAGTTTACAGGGTGAATCAAAGAGATCTATGGGCTCCTAAGTCCTTGGGTTAGTTTCTTAGGTTTAAAGTCTCAAATGTCAAAGGGTCCCTTAAAGACATTCAACAACAACAACAACAAAAAAGCCTTAATCCCACTACTGGGGGTTGGCTACATGAATGCTTATTCTCCATTGCTTTCTATTTAGTGTCATATTTTCATTTAGTTCTGATAAATTAAGATCATTTTTTATACAATAAGCCCAATACAATAAGCAAGCCTTCCTGGGTCTACCTTTGCCTTTCTTAACATAAGTCGAATCTAAAACATCTACTCTCCTAATCGGATCATCAGAGGGTCAACACTTAATGTGACCAAACCATCTAAGATGACTTTCAAATGGTACTCAATCCTTAGCTCTCAGTGACCTAATAAATGATCTACTCAACTAAAATAAGTTGGGTCCAACCATCAACTAGTCCTTTAGAAAAGTCTACTAAGGAATTCCTAAGCCTTGTAGTCCAAAACATCCTCTTGAAAAGCTTCCTTTCGCCAGCTTTTATGCAAGGAATTGCAAGATTGATGGTAGAACTGGAACCAAATCAGTTCGAAGGGACTAAATTTAAAACCTGAGGAAGTTTCAGGCAGAAAAACAAACACTTAAAAATATTTAGGGATCATTTTGAACTTATTATCTTTTTTGCTAAAACTGATGCTGCATTTATTTGTGTCTATTCCTCACAATTCTCTTCCATTCTTTTCCCAATTGGAAAATAAATGAGCATAAACTGGCAGGCACTGTTCCGAAAGATCGCGGCAGCCTTGCCGGGGATGGAGAATTTGTCATCAACAAAGCAGGAAGACATGGTCAATGTGAATCTGAAATCCAGCAATGCAAGTTCTTCTCAGTCACAGCCACAGTCTGGTGGATGCAGTTGTTGATGTCAGAAACAGACTGTTCAGCTAAATTGTGAGGGAAGTTTTCATATATAGCACATAATCTTATGTATTTATATATCTCACGTCGAAACTTTCATATTTGCATATATGACACTTAAATGTTTTAAATCTATGCATGAAAATGTGTATTTCACTTTTAAAAACCAATAATAATGTTATTTTTGATGTGATAATAAAGATTTGAGTGCTGTGTGTAAATATGAAAGTTTAGTTGTGAGATATGTAGATACATAAGAATTGTTTGCTATGCATGTAGATGCCCCAGCTGTTTTTTAATTTCTTTTGGTTCTCTTATAATACAATAACTGAAGCATCGTCCTTATGTTTGATCACTAAGATCTCAGCTCTTTCCAAGTAAGAACTCCAATGTCTCTCCTACTTTGTTGTATTATTAATATGTTGCTCTTGGTTTCTATTTTGTGTAGGTTTTAATTGTTTTCCTTTGAGATTTTTACATTATATTTTCGCTTGTAATGGTAACATTTGTGTAGCAGCCCAATGCTACAATGTTATGGATATTCTATGCATAGAGAAACTACTTAAGAGCTGCATTATTGAATTTTTTTCTTTTTTGATCTGTACTATTGAATTCTTAAGAGCTGCACTAATGGAGCAGAAAAATTATGTCCGGACTCCTGATGTAGCTCTATGTGCGGACTCCAATAATATGCCGTTATGTGTGCTACATCACGGAGGTTATTTCGAGATTATTGAAGTGGAACCGCAGATGTTATTTCAGAGTTATTTCGGATAAACACATATATTCCACTTCAATAACCCTGAAATAACCTCCGCAATTTCACTTTAATAACCTCAAAATAACACTGCAAATGTTATTTCAGGGTTATTTCTAGGTTATTTCAAGGTTATTGAAGTGAAATATATGAATTTCTCTTCAATAACCTCGAAATAATCTAGAAATAACCTTCGTGATGTTATTTCAAGGGAGTTATTGAAGTGACACCGCGATGTTATTTCAGAGTTATTTTAGGTTATTGCGAAGTCCGTGGTTCTACTTTAATATTTTTTTTTATGGGGTCGATATAACACACATGACGATATATTACTGGGAGTCCGCGTTGAGCTATGTCCGGAGTTCGGACATAAATTTTTTTTTGGAGCATAGGGCGTTTAGATAAATTCCTAACAATCTTTCTGCATTTACATACCTAACAACTAAATTTTTTATGTTTATATGTATAACACTCAAGTTGAATATTACATCTGAATATCTATCTTAATATATGGGAAATAAATGCATGTCACTCTTAATTTAATGAATAAATAACATTTTAGAAGTGCTAAAATAGTATTGAATATTTTTATGAGGATGTTTTAGTCCCAGAGTTTATAGAATTGTCAAAATAGTTTTTAGTCTTTTTAAATTAGGTTCGAAATAGTTTTTATTGAGAATTATTAGAGCTCAATTTTAAAATAGTCAGAGAATATTTAGTCATTTTTATAAATTACGGGATTAAAAAAAATTCATGTAAAATAATTAGAGGATATTTGACACTTTATTCAATATTTTAGTATCAAACATAATTAGTCTTTTTTCGAGAGTGGCGAGTCTCAAAGAATTTAAAACAAAATATTATATTACACATTAATTAATAAATGATAAGTTTTACATTAAGATAATTTAGTCTCATATTCAGTTATGCTAAATTAGAATAAATAGAATACTTGTTTTTCAATGACATGAAAATTAAGTAATATATTTAATAATTGTTTTATGTTATGTGCCCGAGTTTGCAACCTTGTAGCGGTTTTGTGAATGTGTAGAGACTAAGGATCGTCTTTGCGTCCTCTACCTATGTTGGTAATATATTAGGATACTTTGAGGGATCCTTGGTCTCCTTGGTTTAATTGGAGAAAAATCACAACTCCCAATCAACACAATGTTGAAAATAATACTTATCAGATGATCTTCATTATTGGCCTCAAGCTAATAAATAGTCGAAGAACCTTTGGATGGAATAGACAATAACCTATTCTTATGGAAAGGAAAATTACAGTAACATAATTCTAGCACTAATTTATTAAAAGAAAATAACATTAATTGAAATAACATTAATGTAATTATTGATGATAAGCATCAATCACTCCCATCCCATTTAATGTAATTATTGATGGTAAACATTAATTACTCCCATCCCCTGATTCTTGGTCCCTGACAACTCTTCCCTCCTTAGAAATTTCCTTGTCCTCAAGGAAAAAAACTTGTCTTCAATTCTGCCAGATTCTCACACGTGGCCTCAGCAGGAGAGAGATTTTGTCAATGAACAAGAACTTCAATTTCTCCACCTTTTGTGCGAGTTTCCAGAATGACTTAGGAAATGGGTGGAATGTTGCTTCTACTGGTAATTCAAGTAGAGTGGGAGAGATTTTCTCTTGATCTCCAATCCTCTTTTTAAGGTGAGAAACATGGAAAACTGGATGTAATTTAGATTTCGGTGGTAACTCCAATTTATATTCAACTGTGCCAATCCTGGATAAGATTTGAAATGGACCAGAAAATTTGGGACCGAGCTTGAGATTTTTTCTTTGAGCTAATGAAAGCTGACGATATGAGCGCAATTTTAGGTAGACAAATTCGCCCATTTGAAAACTCCTATCTGTGTGTTTCTCATCATAATATTTCTTCATTCGCTCCTTTGCAATTCTCAAATTGGCTTAGACATCCTTAATCACCACATTCCTTTCAAGTGGAAATTTGTTAACAGACTCCGCACGTAAAGTGCCATGAACATAGGCAAGTAAGGTGGGAGGCTCTCGCCCATAGACAATTTCAAATGGTGTCTTTTTGGTGGAAGAGTGGATGCTTGTATTGTAACAATATTCCACCCACGGAAGCCAAATCACCCACTCTTTGGGCTTAGAACTCGTGAAACACCGCAAGTACATCTCCAATTGCTTGTTGATCACTTCGGTTTGACCATCAGTTTGTGGGTGATAAGCCGAGCTAAAATTGAATTTAACTCCATTTAATAAGAATAAATTTTTCCAAAAGGAACTTGTGAATATCGGGTCACGATCACACACAATAGACTCGGGCATGCCATGAAGCTTGAAAATTTGGTCAAAATATATTTGGGCAATTGTGGTTGCCGTATAAGGTTGTTTAATGGGAATAAAATGGCTATATTTGGATAATCGGTCAACAACCACAAAAATGGTAGAGTTATCTCTAGATGTTGGCAAGCCATCCACAAAATTCATGGAAACATCTGTTATACATGGCGCGGAATTGGAAGAGGGCTGAGTAAACTTGCTGGCTTGACTTGGTCCACCTTATTTTTTTGACAAACATCACACTCTTGGATAAATTTTCGTACATGCCCCTTCATGCCTTTCCAATAAAAAACTGATTTGATTCTATGGAGAGATTTGTGGAGCCCTTCATGCGTGTTGGAATGGAATTCTTTAATTATAGGAAGAATCAATTCAGATGTGGCCAAGAGATAAATCTGATCCTTAAAGAAAATCAATCCTTCCTTGAATAGCCATGGTCCCAATGCTTCTCCTTCCTTGATTTTCTCCACCAAATCCTGAAATTGTGGATTAACTGAAATTTCCAATTTTAAGGGATGCACCCAATTAGGAATAGGAAAAGATATTGCATGAATTTTAAATTTTCGGGAAAGGGCATCTGCAGCTTAATTTTCCTTGCTTTTTTGTAGTGAATTTGAAAATCAATTGCAAGCTTTTTTGGTTTGTCTGAACAATAAATTTGGCTCCTAAAAGATATGGACGCCATTTTTGGACCGCCTTAACCAAGGCTAACTTTTCCTTCTCGTACGTGGATAATGCTAGATTTTTGCCCTGTAGAATTTGGCTAAAAAAAGCGATTGGACGGTCGCCTTGCATGAGCATTGCACCCAACCCAAGCCGAAAGCATCACACTCCACAATAAATGGTTAAGAAAAATTCGGTAGAGGCAGTACGAGTCCAAATGTCATTGCCAATTTTAAACCTTCGAATGCTAGCTCAGCGGCGAAACTCCATTTAAAAGAATCTTTTTGAGCATATTTGTCAAGGGTTGAGCGATCATTCCGTAATGGTGAATGAATTTCCGGCAGTAACCGGTGAGGCCCAAAAAACCTCGCAACCCCTTCAAACTAGTTAGTTTGGGCCATGTCATCATGGAGGAAATTTTCTCAGGGTCCATGGCTACTCCACCATGAGAAATCACATGACCCAAGTAGCCTACTTCGTCCTGTCCAAATTGAGATTTTTCAAGCCCATTCATGACGCTTTGGAAGGTTGACAGTGCATTAGTGAGGCCAAAGGGCATCACTAAAAATCTTTGGCCTCACTAAAAATTCATAGTGGCCTTGGTGCGTGCGAAAAACTGTTTTCTCAACATCTCCCGGGTACCCTGACCTCAAATTAAGTTTTGTGAAAAATCGTGCACCATGCAATTCATTCAATAATTCATCAATAACGGGTATTGGATATTTATCCTTGATGGTTATGTTGTTGAGTGCCCAACACAAAGCCTCCAATAGCCATCTTGTTTTTTAACCAATAACACGGGAGAGGAGTATGGACTCGTGCTAGGCCTTACCACACCGGAAGACAATAGCCCCTTGATCATTTTTTCAATCTCATTTTTTTGGTAATGGGGATACCGAGAAGGCTTGATTGAGATTGGATTAGCTCCATTTTCCAAAAGAATTTTGTGGGCTTGAGATCGTTGAGGTGGCAATCCTTGAATCTCTTGAAATACAACCAAATGTTGATTCAAAATAGCCATTAAATCTGGATTTAAATTGGTTGTTTCAACTCCATGCTTCTCTCCCAAATTTAAGGAATTGAATTGTAATAAAAAAGCTCTTTTTCCTTTCCGCAACTGCTCCTCTAGATCACGATCAACCATGATTTTATTGCTAGGCCCTCTGGTCCCATGTAACTTTTTTGTTTTCCCCTCCCACCAAAATCACATCCATAGATCATTGAATTCCCAAATAATTGGACTCAGTTTTTTAAGCCATTGATTTCCGAAAACAACATCACATCCTTCCACTGATAAAAGGTTAAAATCTACGTGAAATTGAACCTTTTGCACTAAAATAGGGAGCCTTTCACACAATTCTTCACTTTTCATCTTACTTCCATCCGCCACTTGAACCGATAATTCTCCTTTCTTTGTAGGATAGTAGGATAAATTCTCTGAACCGATAATTCTCCTTTCTTTGTAGGATAAATTCTCATTTTGGTAGCTAACTTTGAATTCAAAAAGTTATGAGTGATACCGGAATCCAATCTCCAATTTTTCCAAAAAACTTCAATTTTTTCAAAAAAACGCATGGTCTGAGGTGTTGTATTTCCTGAAATAGCATGAAAACTAATTTCGGGAATCTCTTCTTCCGTTTCCTCCTCTTCGGTAGTCTCGTTCAACGGCTCATCAATAGAAGGAAAGATTCCTTCTATTAAAAATAACTTCTTGCAACGATGGCTCGGGGAAAATTTTTTCGTCACAACTGAAGCATAATCCACGCATCCTCCTTTATTGCAACTCAGTCGGCCTCAACCTCTTGATGGTGGGGTTACGAGCTCGAGTAAGGGATGCTAAGGGTAAGGGTGGATGTCCCATGGTGGATGGAGCCTTCGAAGGTTCCACGTACCCTCTCTTCCGTTGGTCATACATACGAGACTCATAAAGTCGTGTCAGACCGATAGCAATGGACAATGAAATTGGATTTCATGCTTGCACATCTGCTTGCACATCAACTCGTATTGCTCGTATTGCATCCTTTAACCCGCTCACAAAGCACCCGACTTGTTGTTCTTCAGACAAATGGCCAACTCGATGTAACAAACAATCAAAGTCCATTTGGTAATCGCGAATGCTTCGTGTTTGTTTAAGCTTGGTGAAATCCTCAAAGAAATTTTGGTATCTTAACGACCCATATCGTAGATGCAACTCGTACTTGAAAACTTCCCAATTGACGCCTTCTCGTTGATTTTTGAAACGTTGATATCACAATTGGACATTGTCATCCAAGTGATAACCGACCATGGGGAGTTTTTCCGCATCTTCTGTGCATTGGAACTCGAAAAATTGCTCCACTTGACAAATCCACCCGGTTGGATCATCCATGCCATTATAGCGTGGAAAGTCCAACTTAATGATTTTGGGTGCGAGAGAGCCTTCTCCCGAAAGTCTACGACGGGGCCCGCGTGAAGACTCGACAGCATCCTCATGTCCTCCACCACGCATAGAAAAACGAGCAAACATGATCTCCATATGTTTCAAGAGACATTCTTTACTAGCTTTCATAGCTTGATGTAGTTCCTTTTGGATCGCAACCAATGAGCCAAGCTCATTCTCCACATGCTCGAGACGGTGGTCAGACATGCCTGGCTCTGATACCAAGTTGTTACGTGCTCAAGTTTGCGACCTTGTAGCAGTTTTGTGAATGGGTAGAGAACAAGGATCATCCTTGCGTGCTCTACCTATGTTGGTAATATATTAGAATACTTTGAGGGATCCTCGACCTCCTTAGTTGGTTTAATTCGAAAAAAACCACAACTCCCAATCAAGACAATGTTGAAAATAATACTTATCAGATGATCTTCATTATTGGCCTCAAGCTAATAAATAGCCGAACAACCTTTGGATGAAATAGACAATAACTCATTCTTATGGACATGAAAATTTCAATAACATAATTCTAGCACTAATTTAATTCTAGCACATAATTCTAGCACTAATTTATTGAAAGGAAATAACATTGATTGAAATAATATTAATGTAATTATTGATGGTAAGCATCAATCAATCCCATCCCATTTAATGTAATTATTAATGGTAAACATCAATCACTCCCATCTCATTTAATGTAATTATTGATGGTAAACATTAATCACTCCCATCCCTTTATTCTTGGTCCCTAACATTTTATCAGTTAATTATACTAAAAATTTTGTATTCAATAACTCTCATTAATCTATTTTTGCTTAAAAAGATTAATTAATTGAGCATGTATAATAAATAAATGATAGAAATGCACTAATAATGAATAAATGAAATTATTATAAAAAATTTGAGAAAATTGTAGATCAAAATGATGTGGATGTAGTTGTATTGAATAAAAAATAATGTTTAGCACCTGATATTTTAGATTAATAAATAAAAAATAAGCATAAATGAAATTAAATACAATAATTAAAACAAAATTAACAATAATGATGACACCCAACTTTCAACATCTTCAAATTTTTTTTAAAAGAATATCAATTTAGATTATGTTATAAAAATAGCTAGAAAGTTGTTATAAATAGAAATTCTTAAAATCAGCTTGGGACTGATTTGGTTAGTGAGAAATTAAAAAATATACTTAAATTTATGCATTTAGCCAACGTATAATATTGGTATTAAAAGTTATAAATTTAATATATATATATATATATATATTGAATATATCAATGAATCACACGATTCACTCCTCAAGTGGGAAGGAGCACAGGGGAGAGAGGGAGGGAGAGAGAGAGAGAGGAGCAGTAATAAACAATAAAATATCTAATACATTTCGTAAAAAGATATTCTATTTAGAGGGAATGGGTACAATATATGTTTGGGCTTACTTTATTAGGGGTGCTATGGAATATTTTAAGGGATTTTAGTTGTATTGGTCAATGGCTCGACTACCTTCTAGCTTGGTCGCTTATCAGTTGAGCTTAGTGGGCATCAATTCAGTAAGATCTGCTTGTTCGACTATATTGGGTCAAGGCACTTGGCTGACCTTCGATTGACTGAGATTTATTGATCAGGTGATCTATTCTGAACGTCTACTGTCGATCATTGGTGAGAAGCTTCTATTAGCAGTGTGATATTAGACTATCAGATATAGGTTGAATCCCTGTAACTAGATAAATATCTCACTCTACAACAAGGAGAGCCTTAGGGATTATTTAGATTTCTTGTGACATGGTTTCCTCTCAATTCTTAATAAAGAGCCTCTAGTGCGTCTGTGAGATGATTAATAGTAATAATAAATCAAGTATTTATTCGAGTTTGGTCAACTGGAAGGTTGATTGTCAATTTGACGTTCTTATGGTGGTTGGCCTAAATGCCCATCGGTCTTATCTTGGCCCCATGGGTTCGGGTTGGGACATCCAAACGCATTTAGTCGTGTGGATTTTGGCTAAGATGGATGCATCTGATCTGCTTTAGTCATAGCTTTGATTGGGACGGCTATGCCTTGTTAGGTAAATGAGCCTTCTAGTTTTCATATGAGGGGCGCTCCTTAATTATATTTTTTATGTCTTCTGAGCCGTTGGATCTCATCGAGATGTGCATTCCCTAAGTATACTTTTTTTTTTCCCCTGAAAACATATTTTTTAATAAGGCCTAAAGTTTTTTGCAATTCACTGGTAACTGTTTGCATCTTCAATCCCTGATTCTCCCGACATAGCTAAAGTTGATGCATCAGATCTGCCGCAAAATAGCTCTTATTTTGCACGCTATGAAGACCGACCCCGGCCACTTGCCGCGGGCTCCTCCGAAGCTGATCTTCCTCGCCTGTTCGCCGCCTTACGGCATCTGGAGTTCTGGACGGTGAACTTTAGCTAAAGCGTACTAGTAACATTCTTCTAGTCATACCGCAAATCCAAAAACTCACTGTCATGGCTTCGATTGATTTGGTCCAAATGTGCCTTGATTCTATTCGCCAGGTAACTTCTTTTTCTGCATTTTTTGTGTTACCACTTTTCTTAGCACGCCAAATTGTTGTGATAAAGCTGTTGATGATAGTGATGGATTGAATTAGGTTCGTAGGTTTTTGCTTAGCTCTTCCGGGAGATCATCTAGGTTTTAATTTCTCATCGGTTATTTTACAAGATTGAATTCTATTCAGGCTTTTTTTTTTTTGTTTAAGAATGGAGTGTGTCATCCAACTATATTAATGTAGTTCCAATTTCGAGAATTTGTTAGAAAAACTAAGCCTTTACTCTGATCCAGGGAAGTATTTATAAGTTTGAAAAATAATTTTTAGTTCTCTATGGAATGATTTGATTTGAACGCATAGGTATAAGATGGTGAATGTTGGATAAGGAATTTCGGTTGTGGAATGCATAGCTGTATGAATTCTTCTCATTGCTTAAAGTTATTGCTCCGTTTTAAGTCATTGATTTTTTGGATTGTGCTGCGGGTCAGGCTCGCTGTGAGAGTTCAATTTTGAGCGTGACAAGTCATGCGTGCAGGTGTCATGTTATTATTTGTCTTATTAAATTTGTTAGTGTTTTAAGTCGATTAAATTCATCATATTTGAGCATCCATAACCTGAGGATCTTCTGAGGCTACACTGCATTTCTTGAGATGCGTGATCTTGGGATAATGAGTGATAAATTGTAAAGCATATGATTTGAATCTGTGACCTTTGAGAAACAACCTTCTCATTCAACCACTGTGCCATATATTATTAGAGTGAGAACGCCATGCTATTTATATCACCGAAGGATTGCTTTTCCAATATAGACATTGTAAACGAAGTAGAAGAATTTCCTTTGGTATGTTCTGCTATCAATTAAAGGTGGAGAAGAGGTTCTTAACTAAGCTGTGGAGCTGATTACTGATCTTTCTTGATAAAAAAACCATTCAAAGTTCTCTTTACTTCTTCTTTGCTTGTTTTCTCCCTTACTATATGTCTCCTCACACTCTAATTATTATTACCTTATGGAAGAGGTGTTCAAGGATCCTACTTTTTATCATTGTTGTGAGGCGGGGGAATATTAATTTACTATTCTCACCCCTGCTATTAACATCTTGAATAATAAATGATTTTTATTTTGGTGAAGTTTGATGAAATCTTGTCATTTAGAAATGTTGAGCCTCAGTTAATGTTCTGTTATACCTAATCCTTTATTTCAATTTGTTAGATTTCAGATGACATTGCAGACTCTGTCGTTTACCTTGATGCTGGTTGTTTGGAAGCTTTCCAGTTCATTTGCGCATTTCCACTTTTTCTGGACCTTGGGGCCCTTTCTATCTGCAGCTTGGAAAGTATGTCTTCTGTAGACAGTGTAAGTGTGTTTACTTCACGTTGGACTTTTTTCAGTCTATTAATTCCTTTTTAAGGTTGAGTTTTGAACATTTTCAGTTATTTCACGGTTTTGATATTTCTAAACCTTGATTTTATTTTTATTTATAAGGTTCTCTACAAAATAGCATAATCTGCCAACTTTTTTATTATTTTGATATTTCTGAACTTCAACTTTTTTTTCTGTGTAAGGTTCTCTACAAAATAGCTTAAGGTAATTTTTATTTTATTTCTATGCTTAGTTCTCTGTTCTTTGATTGCAAAAGTTAGAGGATTTTGGCCGTTTTGTTTAATTTTACAAAGGAATTGTACATTATGGGTTAATTGTTTTTTCTTGTGATCTTTTGCCTCAGTGAAAAAATGCATTTGAAAATTTTCAAAATGAATGTTTCCTTTGTGAAAAAATGCATTTCTAATCACCAATCATGGCCATCGCTCCCCCCCCCCCCCCCCCCCTCT